AGATCAGTCCTAAGGCCTTTGTTATCTAGGAAGTTAGACTAGATCATCGTAGTGGTCCTTACTAGACTTAAAAGAGAATTTGTGGCTATATAGATAGTGAAACTGAGTCACAAAGAAATTGAGTGATCTGCCTAAGGTGTCACACAACATAGCAAAAAATGAAACCAACAGCATATGTCCTGATATTACTAACCTCCACTTCTGTGTTTTAATGTCTCTCCCCACCAAAAAAAGCCAGAGCCTTCTTGACTTTCTAGACTCCTGAGCACTGCATACAGACTGTGAAACCTGAGAGGTCATTTCTCTTTTGAGTGTTCTATTACTCTGATATCTTATGTTTTTTATGAATGCTGCCTTATCAAAATTAACACTCAATGGCTACGTCTAGACTGGCATGATTTTCAGCAAATGCTTTTAACGGAAAAGTTTTTCCATTAAAAGCATTTGCGGAAAAGAGCATCTAGTACTTTTTGCGGAAAAAAAGTACTTTTTGCGGAAAAGCGGCCGTGCCAATCTAGACACGGTTTTGCGCAAGAAAGCCCCGATTGCCATTTTCGCCATTGGGGATTTTTTGCGCAAAACAGTTTTTAGCTGTCTACACTTGTCCTCCCAAATGGAAGCAGCATAGTATTTGCGGAAGAACACTGGCACTCTTACATTAGATCGTCAGTGTTCTTGCGCAAATTCAAGCGGCCAGTGTAGACAGCTGGCAAGTTTTTCCACAAAAGCAGCCATTTTTGCGGAAAAACTTGCCAGTCTAGACGCAGCCATTGTGGGCAGTGTTCCCTCTAAGGTTTCCCATCCATGAGTGGAGTGAGTTTTGTCTTGAGCATCCACATTGACATCATGTGCGCTTATTCGGATGTGTGCCACTGTGGTACCCACTAGTTATTAACACACACACATACATATATATACACATTTAAATTGTTATACAAGAAAAAATACTAAACCAAGAGATAATTAATAAAGTGCATGACCCTGTGGTACAGTAATCAGGGCAGGGGGTGATAGGTAAGGGGGGAGTGCTCAGGCCAGGGGGAGCATAAGATGTGCAGGAGCACAGGGGGTGCAGGATTCAGGGCAAGGGGGAGCATAGGATGGGGGGCTTAGAGGTTGGGGAGGTGGCACCTCCTTGCTGGGGGAGTCTGGAGCTGGGCTGCCCATTCTTCTAGCAGTTCCTTGTAGGGGGAACGTCTAGGACTGGGCTGCTCAGCCCCCAAGGAAGGGGGCGGGGGAGCGGGGGGCCTGCCCACGGGACACACAGCACATGCATGGGCCTGCCCTGGTGTGCACGGCACATGCGCTGCCTGGCCCGGCCGCTGGCACGCAGCCCGGGGCCCGCCTCCCCATGGGAGCACGGGCCCGCCCCCAGGGCGCTTGGCGAATGTGCAGACCCGCCCCCGGTGCGCACGGTGCATGTGCTGCCCAGCCCAGTCGCTGGCACACAGCCCGGGGCCCACCCCCAGGATGCATTGCGCATGCACTGCTCAGCCTGGCTTGGCCACAGCTGCTGGTGCACAGCGCCTGGCCGTGCAGGGCACTGCGGCCGTAGGGGGAAGGGTGCTGCTGGCTGGCGCCGTGGGATTGGAGGGGGGGGGGCGGGCACGCAGTACATGGTGGCAGCTATAAGGGACACCATGTGCCCCTTACAGCTGTCATCAGACACCCCCCCATTGGTTGGCACCCTGGGCAGCTGCCTGGCTCGCCCACCCCTCAGTCCGGCCCTGCAACAGGTTTGACGCCTCGGTTGAGGGACTACAAACCATTCCACTGAGCACTCATCATCATGCCACAAACGCACTTTTTCACCATCGCCTGAGACCATTCCACCAATGAGTGGCCTTGATTACCACTGACCGATGTGTCCTACAGCTAATTGCAATGGTGCTACACCATCCCCTTTATGTCAATTCCTCTTCCTGCCCCTCCCTCCCTTTTCCTCTTCAGGGACCCATCTCATACGTCTCTCTTGAAACAGGAGGTGACTCTTCATGCGCTATCAGAGCGGTGGAAAAGGTACCGGATGAGCTCAAGGGCAAGGATTTTTATTCCCACTATTTTTTGACCCAGAAAAAATCAGGAGGTTGGAGGCCAATCCTAGACCTTTGACACTTAAAATGGTACATTCGCAAACAACATTTCAAGATGGTGACCCTGGTGACTATCATTCCAGCATTTCACAGCGGAGATTGGTTTATGTCCCTCGACCTCCAGGACGCCTATTTTCATGTAACCATTCATCCAGCTCACAGACGCTTTCTATGTTTTCAAGTCATTTCAGAGCATTTCCAGTACAAAATCCTGCCTTTTGGTCTACCATCAGCCCCCAGGGTTTTCTTGAAAACAATGGCGGTAGTAACAGCTTACTTACAGCATGCAGGAATTATTATATTCCCCTACCTCGACGATTGCCTGATCAGAGCACCTTCTTTCGATGAAGCACTTCAGGCTACCAACATAACAAGAACCATATTCGAAGCGCTTGGTCTTATAATCAACCTCACAAAGTCATCAATGACACCTCAGCAATCCATAGAGTTCATAGGTACATGCCTCGACTACACCATGGCTCGCACATACTTACCAACAAACAGATTCCAAACTATCCAGGACCTGATACAGGTTCTCTCCATCAGCCTCAGAACCCCCATACTTACCTGTCTACAACTCATGGGGCACATGGTGTCTACAACATACATTGTAGCACATGCAAGGTTGCACTTCAGATGCCTTCAACATTGTATTGCCTCGATATATGTACCAAACGGTCACGACATCCACAGGAGGGTCATGGTACCTTGTCATGTAAGAAAATCATTGGCATGGTGGTCCATCCCCAACAACTTGATAGATGTCATACCCTTTCACTGACCTCAACCAACCATGCAGATTATCACCAACATGTCACTGCTAGGATGGGGCACACATCTACAAGACCAACAAATCCAAGCTTGCTGGTCCATTCAGGAGTCCTTGCAACATATCAACCGGCTTGAGTTGAGAGCAGTCTTCAACGCCTGAAAATGCTTCCTTCCCCTAATATGTGGTCATGTCATTTGTGTATTTACCGACAACATGACAACGGTATACTACATAAACAATCAGGGTGGGGCTCGATCCCAATCCCTTTGCATGGAGGCAATGCGATTATGGAACTGCTGCAACCAACACAGAGTTACGGTTATCACAGCATATCTCCCTGGTGAGCAGAATGTCACAGCCGATGCCCTCAGCAGGCACTTCTCAACAAATCACAAATGGGCATTGCACCCAGATGTGCCTCACACCCTTTTCCACTGCTGGAGATATCTATCCATAGATCTCTTTGCTACACACCGCAACTCGAAGTGCCCTCAATACTGCTCACGAAGGGATATTGGACCAGAGTCAATGGGAGATGCACTCCTATGCAACTGGAGCCAACACCTTCTATATACCTTTCCACCTACTCCTCTCATTTCCAAAGTTCTGGAAAAGATAGCAATGGAAGGAGCCAGAGTGATACTAGTAGCCCCCTACTGGCCACGACAGATGTGGTTCCCTTACCTGTTTCGCATATCAGTCCATCCTCCGTGCCATCTTCCCAGACACCGCAACTTGCTGACGCAGAACCACGGACGCTTGATACACCCTCAGCTCAACCACTTCGCTCTGATGGCATGGTACCTAATTGGTTCCAACAAACAGAGATGAGTTGTTCCCTAACAGTCAAACAGGTCCTATTACATAGTAGAAGATCCAATACATGCAATACTTACTTGAAGAAATGGCGGCAATTCTGTTCATGGTGTTATACTGCACAATTGGACTCCTACTTGGTCCTTATTCATTGCATTTTGGATTATCTTCTAGATCTCAAATGCTCTGGCCTTGCATGTTCCTCCCTTAAGGTTCACATTGCGGCAATCACTGCCTTTCGACACTCTGTGGACGGCTATTCTGTGTTTTCCCACCCAATGATGAAGAGATTTGTGAAAGGATTGGCTAATCTCTTCCCGGCCACAGGCACTCTGTGGAACCTGGAGCTAGATTTGGACGCGTTAATAGGGCCCCCTTTCGAGCTCTTGGCAACTTGTGACTTATCCACTCTAACCATGAAGGTGGTTTTCTATTGGCAATAACCTTATCATGGAGGGTTGGGGAACTATCCGCCCTCTTGGCAACACCACCTTACGCAGTGTTTACCTCCCAGGCAGTAATACTTCGCCCTCAACCAGCATTTCTACTAAAAATTAATTTGGAGTTCCACATAAATGAATCTATAGTTCTCCCCACATTCTACCCTAAGCCACAT